ATGAGATGTAGGGCTGTAACTGAGACCACGTAGAAAAGACCACTGCAGAGGGCCCTGAAACTTGTCGAAGGAGTCGTAAGGCTAGTAAGATTACAAACAGTTCCCCGGCCAGGCACGAATGAGCAGGGGAGAGTTTCCACGTCTGACAGAAGGAAAAAGGAGCAAAGTATGCTGCCGCAGATGTAGATGGTGGCTGATCTTTGCGGGACCCATCCGTGTAAACCTCCAAGTATCCAGAGTATAAGGAGGCTCGTAAGTCTGCAAAAATTAAAGGGGCCAAACCCTCTAAATCTCTCTGCCGACGATGAGATTTGGAAAAGTCGACAGAAACCCGAATGAGCTCTTCTGCCCACAGAGGCACCGATGAGATGATCGGGCCAGGGGTGAGTACAGGGACGGGAAGGGAAAACTGTGAATATGCATCCAAGGCCCGGACGACGTCGGGAACGTCCAGCCGGCACATTCCACCAGTTAGCATCGAGCTGGAAGCGAGTAAGTGGATGGGTAGCAGGGAGACGCACTATCTGTTGAAATTGGCGGCAGTGGACGAGAAGACGTTCAAAGCTCAGGGGCCATAGCCCTGACTCGGCATGGAGAGAAAGAACTGGCGAGGAGGGCATAGCTCCTAGCGCTGAGCGAAGGGCACCATTTTGAATGGGATCCAACCTTGCCAAGACAGATGCTGCTGCTGAGCCATAGACTTCACTTGCATACATGATCTTGCTACGAATGAAGGCCTTATAGAGAGCTAGGAGCGACTCCCGTGAAGCCCCCCCATGCCGCACCAGAGAGCCGTTTCATGATGTTCACGCGACGAAGGCATGAGGCCCGAAGGTAGTCCACATGATGCCTCCACGTCAGCCGAGGGCCATCTAGAACAACCCCCAGCCACCTGTTTTCCGTAGCAATCGGGAGACGACAGCCCCCGACGGTCACCACTGGCTGGTCTGGTAAGCGGGTCCAGGTGAAACTCATGACGCAACTTTTCACGGGGTTAATGGAGAGCCCCTTCCCCAGCACAGTTGCTGAGAACACAGTTACGGCATTTTGCAGGAAGCCTTGTGCCTCTAGGAGAGTGGCACCATCCGCCACGAGGGTTACATCGTCGGCATAGGCTAAAACCTGGACCCCCGGAATACAGGGAGATGAGACAGAAGAATAGAGAATAATAGTGGGCTCAGAATCGCTCCCTGGGGAACACCACACAAGACAGGGCGGGACGCAGAGACAACTCCACCAACCGCCACTTTGAATGTAGATAGTTTTGGAACCACCTCAACGCCGGACCCGAGAGTCCTAGTCGAGCCAGACTCTGAAGGACAGCAGAATGAGACGCAGTCAAATGCACTCTTAATGTCGAAGAATGCTGTAAGGAGCACTCTTCTCCGGCGATAAGTGTCCATTATTCGATGTTCCTAGGAGAGGAGGCAGTCCATTGTGCTTCTTCCCGGCCGAAATCCACTGATTCCCTCTGGTAGAAGACCTGAGGTTTCCACCACCCATTGTAGCCGGGTGTGGACAAGACGTTCCAACAGTTTCCCGAGACATGGAAGCAGACTTATGGGCCGATATGAACTCGGGACAGACGGATCCTTCCCTGACTTGGCCAATGGTAGAAGAATGGCGTGTTTCCACGGGTCAGGGAAGACACCAGAGGACCAGCAGGCGTTGTAGAAGTGAAGGAGGTGGGACTGAAGGATCTTGGGTGCCCTCCGAACAAATTCATATGGGACGTTGTCTATCCCTTGCATAGTGCCCAACCTAGAGAGTGACAGCACGTCTTTCAGCTCAACAGATGTAAATGGACGATCCAGGTCCTGAGCTAGTCCTATACCCTGTCGGGAGTCCCATCCTATAGAAGTCACAGAAAGAAGCTGGGAACGGTAAACATCTTCAAAGTGGTCAGCCAAGAGTTCGGCTATTTGTACTTTCCCTAGGCCCCCATTACCACTGGGGTCTCTGAGTGGGATGGAAGGCTGGGAGTACCTACCTGTCATCTTGCGAACAAAGGCCCAGGCTCCCACAGAGGAGGAGTCGAATCGGAGTGAGGCACAGTAATCAGCCCAGGCCTTGCGTTTGGCAAGGAGGACTGTTCGTCTACACCTGGCGTCCGCCCTGCAGAAGGTCTGCCACTGCAGTGGAGTAGGGTGGCGCCGCCACGAATTAAACGCACGTCGCCAGTCCAGTACTGCCTGCCGACATTCAGGGGTCTACCACGGTGCCCCACGGCGGGAAGGATTGGTTGTCTGGCCACTAGTCCTCCTGAAATGCCGAGATCCTACACTGAAGGAGGACTCGGAGAGAGCATCCGCTGACCCATGCAGCTCTGCAGTAATTGCGGGAAGGGTCGACCAGTCATCCGCCTCATAGCCATGCCACCCCTCTTCCGAGAAGATCCATTTGGTTCTTCGGGAGGTCAGAGCAGGACGAACAGTACCCTCGAAGGAGATGACGATGGGCAAGTGATCACTACCCAGGTACGGCCCGGTCCATATCGGGCCATTGTGAAGGGGCCTCTTCCAATGCAAAGATCGAGCATTGAAGTATGTCCATTTAGCGGGTCTATCCGAGTTCCCAAACCTGGCGGCGTCAATAAGGAGAGGTCTGGGGAGTCAAGGAGAAACGAAATAGGGCTCGGCCAGCCATATTGTGGTGGCGACCCGATAGCATAGGTTGCCATGATGAGTGCCGAGCGTTAAAGTCTCCTATGACGAGGCAGGTGTCTGTGATCTGACCAAAATAGTGTTCTAGTTCCTTCTTCGTTACCGGTAGACGGGTTATACAGAGCTCCAAAGGTGCCCCACCCATGGGAGAGGGCCACCTCCACTGCCATGAATTCTAAATGTCCACCCGGGAAGGAGCGAATCCGGAGCAAGGAGCTGAGAACTGAGTCCCTGACCAAGAGGGAAGTCCCCCTCCACCTCGTACTGGCCGATCTTGTCTATAGACCGAATACCCCGGCACCGTGAAGGAAAGCTCGTCTGTAAGCCAAGTCTCACAGAGTCCCACGATCAACGGTGGTGCGCTGGCGATAAAATTGCGTAGAAATTGCGTCTTCTTAAAAAGGGAGCGGGCATTCCAAAACACCACAGTATTCTCAGGATGGGGCGCCATTATCCCTGAAATACAACAGCTAACTTTTTGACCACCTGTGCACAGACGTCTCCAAAGGGGGAACCACTAGAAAAAGCCATAAAATCCTCATACAAAGCAAAATGTGTGGTATCAATGACAGCCAGTCCAGAGGATGTTGATCAATGCTTCTCTCTGCCTGACGGAAGCGGTGATCGGCTCGCGAACTCTCTTGACGGCGCCTGCGATTGGTGGGTGCTTCACTCTGGGCCTCATGTTCCACCGGTGTCACAATCCCTTGGGAAAGTGCCTGGGGGACCAGAGGATCACCAGGACTGTCTGTTGGAGCAGTACCTCCTGATCGATGGGTGTGTCGACGACGCCGGTGTTGACTTTTTTGGGGAAAGGCAGGAGGGTGACGAGTGCCAGGCTCCGGCTGAGACTGAGCGTCCATGTCTGTATCCGTGGATGGGTTTCCGTCCGTGTCAAGGCTACCCAGGAGGGAAAATCGATTAGCAACCTGGGCGTATGAGGCATGTGACTGGGACAGGCAAGAGCGTCTGCTAGTTCCTGCTTGTGAAGAGGCCCGACCAGGGGGAACCTGGAGGCGAGAAGAAGAGATAGGCTGATTGAGGGCGCAACTACTTCTGGAACAGCTCATGTCGAGGTGTCCCCGCTGTTTTATGATCGATGTCCAATTGGAGGGCCTCAAGATATACAGAGCAACTCTTTGACGTAACCTTATGATGGCCATGGCATAAAAAGCAGCGAGGTGCAGCAGAGCACCCACCGTTATTTCTGAATGAATGGCCTGTTTTGCCGCAGTTTGCACAACGTGCTGCATTACGGCAGGTCAGGCGACTGTGGCCCAATATATGACAAGCGTAACATTGTAACACAGGGAAATTGTAGGGCTGAACCTGATACGAGGTCCTGTGTAGTGCCACTCGGTCAGGGAGGGGCCCATCGAACTTTACACGGACCATGGATGTCGGCCCTGCTGCTCCGCGAATCCTGGTAACTTCCAATAATCTCGCTGATGCACCCCCTAATACCTGCAGAGCGGCCTGGATGTCATCCACATCTACACTCTGGTCAATTGGGCCAATCTTCCCATACCGGGCCCGAGACTCCTCCTCCTGCGACAATACCTGTCGGCACCTGACAGGCCAGTCCCCCAACTTAATAATGTCGGATACACGGATGTGTGATAGAGCCTCCTTTCTGATATGTAGCTTCAGTGCTGCACCCCTACCCAGGGTACGTATGGTCTCAGGCAGGCAATGTGGCCACAATACCGAAGCCTCAATTGCTGCACCTAAGGTACGAGGATTTGCAAACACGCACTGACCTGATTAGGACTACCACAAACAAGGAACGGGGTACCACAAGACTAAGGTCTTCTGAAGGGGAAGACATCCTCTTAGCATCTCGCTCTGGGGCAGCATCAGCCGACTCATTTTCAAGTAGACGTTTCCCTCTCTGGGACTTGCTGTCAACATCCACGGCGCCCCCGCTCGGGAAGGCGTCCATTAGGGAGGCTCCGGCCTCCCCCGGTGCTGTGAGCCCCTGGGTAGCTGCAGTGAGCACACACTGGCCCAAAGAAGCCAGCCAGTGTTTTTTCCCCACCTCATCTTGCCCGAAACGCTATGCGTACTAGTGGCTTTAGGAATTGTACGTACTAGTTCTATCTATAAATCCTACATTATTTGATTTGTATTTGACAGTACTATAACCGCTCTCTTTCTCTCAGGATGTATGTATTTGTCTCCTACCTGAATAAACGTTTGATTTGATTTGATTTGATTTGATAAACCAAAGAAAACTCGAGTAAGTCCCTAAAACCTGTATCAGTACTATAACCGCTCAACAATCTTTCTCTCAGGATGAACAAACCTAGCAAAAAGTTGCTGAATTTGTCTCCTAGGATGAACAAGACCAGCAACAGCTGTTGGCTTTTGTTATTGTTCTATCTTCAGCTATCCCGGTGGGACGTGGAGGTGAGAAGTGTCGGGTCAGTGTACAATACTTTCATACAAGTCCAACGGCTTTGTAAGGCCAACAAAACAAACAACTGCTGCCTACAGAGTAGACAAAAAGAATCTAGCTAGGACTAAACCAAAGAAAACTCGACCAAAACTAGCTAGTTAGTCCCTAAAACCTTATCTTGTCCAGGCAGCAGTATCCTCTTGGGGGTTTATATCAACGAGTGCTTGACCAGGAACAGGCAGCAACTCCTCTGCCGTCTGCCCAACCACTTGGGCTGGACGGTAGAGCGACGGTCTCGCTTCATGCAGGTCAGCGTTCAATCCCCAACCGTCCAAGTGGTTGGGCACCATTCGTTCCCCCCGTCCCATCCCAGATCCTTATCCTGACCCCTTCCCAGTGCTATATAGTCGCAATGGCTTGGTGCTTTCTCCCTGATAGTTCCCTTCCCTTCCTCTGCCGTCTTCAAAGGTAGAGAAAACCTAAGGTGGGATCCATTAGTACTTTGTTAAAGACGGCATGATAGAAGTGAGGAAAACCCTTATAGGCCAAATTTTTATAATTTCATAATTTCAAATGAGGATAACCTCAATAAATTCCTCACCCAATGTGGTTTATCTGACTTGACTAAGCCTATCAGTTAGGCCGGTCAGACTGACCTAACATAACCCTATCGTTTGTGCTGCATCTTAATTTTTTTGAGATATATATACAAGAGTTGTTACATTCTTGTACAGCCAGTAATACATGTAGCGTTTCGGGCAGGTCCCTGGAATACAATCCCCGCCGCGAAGAATCGTTGTTACAACCAAGTACTCATTTTACTGTTGCGTTAAACAGAGGCTACAATTAAGGATTTGTGCCCAGTAACTCCTCCCCGGCCAGGATACGAACCCATGACAAAGCGCTCGCGGAACGCCAGGCAAGTGTCTTACCACTACACCTCGGAGACTGGTTAATTAACCCCATTGTCATCACGTGCAGGCTAGGTAACCTAGGTTTCATTGTTACCTAGGTTGCCTAGCCACCCCATACTCCCTTGCTCCATTGTGCCCTGGCTTTACCTGTGATCTCTAGTGTAAACTATTATTTTCAGTGTACCTGAGTGTAACTCAGGTAATATACCTCATTTTTTCTAATTTAACTTCAGTAATTTTACTAAGTTTTATGTTCCAAACATAGTCATTCTTTATTGAATCCTTTTTTTACTTGTCATCTATTTTCTTACTTGTCCAATCAGTGTTTTTTTTTCTCATTTTCACTTGTTCCTATTTTTTTGCATTTCATGCTATGGTTATTTTTTATATCTAGAACATTTTTTGTAATTGCTCCAAATTTTTATTATTGTAAAGAACTTAGTTTTATTTGTTTACTCTTTACATTGCATCATAAATTGTACCTTTAACTTTTTTACCATCAACGAGCCCTCTTTTGCAACCTAGTATAGACCCAGAACTAAACCTCTTATCAAGTATCTATGACAATCATCACTTTAATGATCAGAATTGCAGGTATTATACTGTACATGATGTAAACAATGTATTAACACATAATCACAATGTTTCTTTAATTAATTTCAATGTAAGATCTCTAAGCAAACACTTTGATGATGTTAGTGCCCTAATTCAAACAGTTGACAACAAATTCTCCTTTATTATACTTACTGAAACATGGTTAAAAGAGGATACAACACAACTCTTTATACCAAACTACTTAGCAATTCACAACTACAGTGGGGCCTCGACTTACAATTATAATCCATTCCCAGAGCATAAGTCAAAACATTTTCCCATAAGAAATAATGGGAATTTAAATTATCCATTCCATACTCCAAAAAATATTAACTTAAAATTTTTTGTTATACCTCATAACACTACAATTCAGTATGTATATCTTACCTTGAATGACGACTCTTGTTGGCATATGGAAGACTGTGAGGAGGAGGGGGAGGAGGAGAGGTGTTAGTCTTTGGAAGGGGAGTCCCCTTCCATTATAACATCAGGCAGTGATGACTTTTTTGGGGTACTCTCACTTACATTTTGCCTGCATACCACTAGGTCCTGCTTGTGGCTCACTGCATGTTTTTCCTCACTAAAAATCTGTCTAGTGACACTTGTTTTTCGCTGCATTGTAACACTTGTCTGAAGTGAGACATCACATTGTCATTAAAAAGGTTAATGCAGCAGTCTGCTACAGCTTGATTTGGGTTACATTTTTCAGCAAAACTTTGCAATTCTTCCCATACTGCACACATTTTTTTAATAAATAAGGAAGGGACACCCCTCTAATCTACATCAACAACCCACATTCCATTTTCATGTTTACAAATGATCTCTTATTTTTCCTCTATGGTCATCCTCACATGTGTTTTCTTAGATTGAACCTTACCACTCTTTCTTGGTACCCATGGGATGATATATAATAATTTCTTCCCCCCCCACACCTTGCCTGAAACGCTATGCGTATTAGGGGCTTTAGGTATTGTATGTACTAGCTCTATCTATAAATCCAACATTATGTTTGTAAATCAACTATGTATGTACTTTTCCTGAATAAAAAATGTAATTTAATTTAATTTAATTAGTTTTATGTTCAAAAAACAAAAAGTCACCATGGCACCTAGGAAAGTTAAAGAAAGTAGGTGATAAGAGCCAAGCTAAAAAAAAAAAATTGATACAACCAGGATAGAGATGAAAAAGAAACTCATAACAAGATATGAAAGTGGTGTCTGCGTGTCTGTTCTTGCTACTGAGTTTAGTAACTAAATCTAGTTCTCTAATAAAAGAAAAGTGTGCAGACTGGGAGAAAGTGCAAAGTGTCTTAAGAGGGAAAGTGGAAAAAAAACAGGAAAGGGAAAGTACCTCGAAAGCACAATTACCTGAAGTTATTATGGCAGGGGAACTCCCCTGTCAAAGAATAACATCTCTACACACAGAAATCACAATAACGTGGTACATCAATGAACAAATCCACAAGGGATTTGTGGTTTAAGACAGCGTCTGGGATCATCTGGGACGTAGGTTTGAATCCTCGTCACGGCCCTTGTGGATTTGTTTAATAACATCTCTGTTCCTCATTCTCGTCATCTTCCACATATGCCATCAACTCTCCTAAGTGCAGTTAAAGTGTATGTAGTATTGTATTTGTATTTATTTTATTTATTTATTGAATTAATATTTTTTTGTGCTCCGGAATGGAATATTCCAATTTACATTATTCCGTATGGAAAAAAATTGTTCGGAACTCAACCTGAATTGACATTCAGGAATCAAGTAAGTTTGAGTACCGAGGTTCTACTGTGTTTTTGAGAGATTTATATAAATACACTGTATATAAATATAATATAATATATTATTATTATCTATGCAAGGGTTCCTTGAGACAAAAATTATTTCAAGAATTCTGCAAGGGTAAAATGGTTGAGAAATGCTGGTCTAGTAGGTGTGACCTCAGTAATCCTTACTACAGGCTTCGTGTCCTCAACAATGTGCATTATTATTATTATAGTACAGTATTATAAATTAACTGTTATCTCCCTATTGCTTTGAAGCTAATGCTACTGTTACTGATAATCTGTTTCAGATACTTTTTAATGCAACGCATCTTTTCCTCAAGAAGGAGAATACTTAGCATTTGTCCAGTTGCCGTGAGATATTGCTCCGTTAAGGTGAGAATTGCTTTGGTGTTCTACATATGAATCTTGTATAGTATCTACACCACAGAGCTGCATTTTAACTGCTAATTTAATTCATTTTATTTGAAATAAATACTGTACTGTATTATGATGTATAATACTGTATTTGCTGATATGTGTAGCAATACATTCAATTAACTGTATTAAAAATAAATTGTTTACCTAGTAATTTGTCTCATAATTACATGATTTGAGCATTAATACAGTACTGTATACTGTTGCTTGAGGGTTTAATGATTAAACCATACTAGAGACAAAGATACTATATATAATGATTTGAATGTTTAACCCTTAAGTTGTGCAACACATCATATGATGGGTTGAGTGACTTGCTATAAAATGCGCATCCCATCATGTGATGTACTACGCAAGATTTAAACAGCCCGTGGATACACGGGGTTCACCTCACCTTCATCAGTGCTCTTGTAAACAGACGCCATTTTTTTTTAAATCGTGGGCCAAATTCCCAGATGTGAGGCCTCAATATTGAGTGAGCCACCAAGCCTGACGCACACAGCATGAGCTCACAGCACTGCTGTTCAGCTTGTGACCACAGCATCGCCTAAAAAACCATAATATACATGTTCATGCTATTATTTAGTGATGATATTATTACAGAAGACCCCTGACTGTGATAAAAATGACCAGGATTCTGATAATAGCAGGATTGTTGTGATAATTAGCGCTGTAGTGGGAGGAGTAATCTTGGTGGGGAGGGAGGTAGCGTTGTCTGCTGACTCTGTGTGACCACCTTTTACTGTCTGGACTCACTATACCAGCTTAGTTGTTCGCTATGGTAAACAACACATGCAGATACTTATATATAACGTCTGTATATAAAAGCAAAAACAGTATGGAGTGAGGAGAATGGTGGCATGGGAGTGGTGAGGTGAGGGAGGGAGTGGCAGCCAGTGGCGGGCTGCCACTGCCACTCAGCATACCAACTTAGTGGTTCGTTATGGTGAACACGAATGTAGATACTTATATATAATGTGTATATACAGTGTAATAACAGCAAAAGGAGTGTGGGGGGAGAAGCCATTTTGGTGATGGATGTGGCAACATCTGCATGATTTGTCATGTTGGTAGGGGGTGGCCACTCTGCTCTTTGGGCATTATACCGGCTTAGTTGAAGAGTTATGGTGAACAAAACATGTAGATACTTATATATAAAGTCTGTATATAGTGAATAAAAGCAAAAACAGTATTGTTGGAGGAGAATGTGAGCGAGTGAGGTGTTGGGGAGTGAGTGGCAGCAAGTGGCTGGCTGGTGTGTGGCGGTCACTCCTCATTGCTTTTTGACTCATAATTCCAACTTAGTTGTTCATTATGGTGAACAAAACATGCAGATACTTATATATAACCTGTGTATATAGTGTAATAACCGTCAAAGTATTTGTTCTCTGTTAGATGAACATAATAATTGAATCAACAATATGCACACCATATTTTTGAGTACAGCGATGATTCACACATTTTATTATACTGTATAAATATATCACACTACACACTATTGAATAATATTACAGCAAAAAAACTATGAAAAATCAATCAGAGACATTGAAATAATTAGGTAATTATCTCTTTATGGCCACTCCTGCCTGACAGCTGGGAGCAACAGACTGTCTGGGACGCACTCTGAGTCAGCGCCTGTTTTTGCCAGACTTCCCCGCCCTATAGTGGGCAATATATGCCACTTACGATTTTTTTATTATTTTTCCCATGATTAGAGAACACAAATTAACAGGTTTAGAAGATTTTTTTTTTTTTTTTATGCGCCTGTGGGTGACAAATGCTAATTAGCCCTGAGCAACACAAGGGTTAAGAAACAAGCAAGTCAATGAGAATATCGCCCCAAATTCCCAATGCAAACAATTAATTTTGATAATTTGTTTTATTGGGGACAGGCAGCCAGTGTATGTATGCAGTATACACTAGGCTGATATCGAGGTCCCCTCAGGATCAAACTATTGACCCTTCCCAGGATGCAGGATTTTCCAGGATTTCCCAGGATTTCCTTTCCTTCTTTCCAGGACTTCCCAGGATTTCCTTTCACCATAACAGTTGACTGACTCCTGGGTGCTTATTTGCTGCTAGGTGAACCAAGATATACCTAGGTGCACACCTAGGTGAAAGGAAAGGTGCCCATTCATTTTTGTCCCACCCAGGATTCGAACCCAGGATTTCCGATTGTGAGTCGAGAACGAACCCAATTGTACTCCTAAGTCCCATTAAACTGAATGAATAATAACTCAATAATAACAATATTAATAACTATCCACCGTGTGCCTGGGGGTGGTCAGGCTATGCGTCCGAGGGTTCCTGATCTGAGTGCACGGCAATTTCTCCCAAGCTGGGTGGTTAGTGGTCCTCGGGCAACAATGTGCCCAATGTGGAAGCTTGGTGTTTAGTTATTAAGGGTGACTGTTGTCACCTTGGGTTTGGTGACGTAACCGTGCACACCTGCAAACAAACCACATAAAAAGGCTCATCTATTTGCTTAATTTCTGCAGTGGTACTTCTCCACATTTACTGAGTCAGATATATATGATAATTAAAGTTTTGATTAGCATTGCTATCACTTCTAACAATCCATAAAATATGAATACAGTACTGTATAAAATTACTGGTACTCTGTTTTTTGTTTGCTTTATAATTGTAATCGCAGCTTAGTCGTGTTAAAATCTAAAAACCTCGCTGGTACCAGTGATCTGTATATAGTATTTTAAGAGATATAAGCTTGCCTGGTTCTGTAGCTGATGACTCGTAATCCTAGAGTCATTGGCACTGACCGTAATTAGACTGTTGTCTAGTAAGGAGGACAGATGTAGACGCAAATACTTTGTACTAAGTTGTCTTAACATTCCTTGGTGGGCAGACAAGAGTTTGGATAATATGTCTGCCCTCGACAAACTCCAGCTGATAAATGAAGCTGGCGTCACCCTGGAATGGGTGGGGTGGTGCACCCGTGATTACCAGTCACTTTATTAAACGATTATTGAATTATCCCTTATGGGGTTGTTTTAGGTCTCGTATACAGATAATTAGATTCCATTGGCAAACCTTGTAATTGGTAATTAATAAAAGTGTTGGCAATTTATTCATATTGATGTGAGTTTCAATAAATTTTATTTGAGTAACACAATTTTAATCCTAGTATTTTTCAGTGTTTCATTCCAGATCGGAATATGAAACAATGTAAGGTTTAAGGATATTCTACATACTGTATATATAGTGTACCTTCTAGTCTTGATATTAATCTACTTTCCCTTTTAGTTGGATATTATTTTTGTAATATTGAGATAGTTAATAAATACAGTAAATACATTTATGGTGAATTATTTGAATAAAGTTAACATTAGTCATCGTGCAGCAGTGAACATGAGCCTGCATCTTTTAGGCTTTTGTCCTCTGCAATGCAGCATAATTTGAAATGTACATGACCTGGGGAATGTCATGTAAGGCACTTGATGTAGCATTATGCATTTACTTATAATGGTGGAAAATTTTTGAAACCATCAGTTCCAGGTCTGTGACATGGCGTAGTTCCGTTCTCTTTGCCCTGGTCGCATAGTTTTTTTGCCTCGCACTATGTGTAGTGTGTTTTCAAGTGTTTTTCCTTTCATCTCCAGGCCCCTTAGGCCAGGTGTTTGGGGGTTTTTGCCCAAAAGGTCACAAAGAAATTTTAAGAATTTCAATTGTTGTTTTCTGTTCAATTTCAAAAAGTCTTAAAGACTGGCTGTATTATGACTTGTTTAATGAGCCATTCACCCCAAAGCCATTAATGTGTATAATGCAATTTGATATGCAACTAAATATCTTTTGATATGCAGCTTTGGCTTCCTAGTTATATTTATTTTTTATATTAGTTATGCAACTTTAGCTTCATATTGATTCTTGTTATATTTCAGATGACTGACGGTGTTATAGAAGTATTTAAAGAAGTGGCACAGATAAGCGAGGTAAAGAAAGCCAAGATTCTTAATGCTTCTCTCAATGAAGAAACTGGTCACCACGACATATCTGTTCAGGTGCGGAGGATTTTTAAAGTCGGTTATGGGAGCTATGCTGAAAATGGTCTTGTAGCCTATGGCAGGTTAATTTGTTTTAGTTTTAAAGATGCATATTTCATAACATTTATTTCCTATACACTCATAAAGTGAATAAATTAGCTTGGCTCATGAGATTTTATATATAGTATTGGAAATAATAATGATAATAATAATTGTACAAGAGTACTGTAGTACAATACATGAAGCTGCTAATATGAAGAATATTTTGGGCATAACTTACAAAATAATTAAGAAAATTACATGCACAGAGAAGTCACATTAATGTGATTTATCAATGAGAACATCAGTAGGAGCTGTGAAGAGGACTTGAACCTGTGCTCTAAGCACTCCCAAGCAAACACCTCAGACCACTACACCACGACAGGGTCCAATCCCAGGTTGTAATGCTTTTGACTGTGTTCTTACCTAATTGTACTTACCTAATTGTGCTTGCGGGGGTTGAGCTTTGGCTCTTTGGTCCCGCCTCTCAACTGTCAATCAACTGGTGTACAGATTCCTGAGCCTACTGGGCTCTATCATATCTACATTTGAAACTGTGTATGGAGTCAGCCTCCACCACATCACTTCCTAGTGCATTCCATTTATTAATTACTCTGACACTGAAAAAATTCTTTCTAACGTCTCTGTGGCTCATCTGGGTACTAAGTTTCCACCTGTGTCCCCTTGTTGGTGTTCCACCCGTGCTGAAGAGTTTGTCTTTGTCCACCCTGTCAATTCCTCTGAGAATTTTGTAGGTGGTTATCATGTCTCCCCTTACTCTTCTGTTTTCCAGGGATGTGAGGTTCAGCTCCTTTAGCCTTTCCTCGTAGCTCATTCCTCTCAGTTCCGGGATGAGCCTGGTGGCATACCACTGAATCTTCTCTAGCTTTGTCTTGTGTTTAACTAGGTATGGACTCCAGGCTGGAGCTGCATACTCCAGGATTGGTCTTACATAAGTGGTATACAGGGTTCTGAAAGATTCCTTACACAAGTTTCTAAAGGCAATTCTTATGTTGGCCAGTCTAGCATATGCCGCTGATGATATTCTTTTGATGTGGGCCTCTGGGGACAGGTTCGGTGTGATATCAACCCCCAGAGCTTTCTCTCTATTTGACTCTTGCAGGATTTCACCTCCCAGATGATACCTTGTGTTCAGCCTCCTGCTCCCTTCGCCTAATTTCATCACCTTACACTTTCCTGAGTTGAACTTTAGCAGCTATTTTCTAGACCATTCCTCCAGTTTATCCAGGTCATCCTGTAGTCTCTGTCTATCTTCATCCGTCTTGATTCTTCTCATAATTTTTGCATCATCAGCAAACATTGAGAGGAATGGGTCTATACCCTCCAGATGATCGTTTACATATATTAGAAACAGGATGGGTCCAAGTACTGAGCCCTGTGGGACTCCGCTGGTGACATCTCGCCACTCTGATGTCTCCCCCCTCACTGTTACTTGCTGTTTCCTGTTGCTTAAGTACTCCCTTATCCACTGGAGCACCTTCCCTTTTACTCCTGCCTGTTGCTCCAACTTTTTTAACAGCCTTTTATGGGGTACTGTGTCAAAGGCTTTTTGGCAGTCCAGGCAACACAATTGTGTTGTGGTCTAAGGCGTGTGCTTGGGAGTACCCAGAGCATAGGTTCGAATCTTTCTCATGATTCCTACTGATTTTCTCGTGCAAGTTAATGGTGTAATACTTAAAATTAAATGAAAAGATAACAATTTATAATTTCTGAAAAGACTTAGAAAACAATTACAAATTTTTAATTGATATTTAAGTGAAATTAGAAACTAGTTTTAACAACAGTATGAGGGTTTGAATCTATGTGTTGAGTATTCCCAGACGCGCTCTAGTCGACTGTACAACGACATGGTCAAATGTCGTGATACAAATGTCGTAATGGAGGAATTGTGTGAAACACCGATTAGGCCTCAGTGGAAGTCTCGGGACCCTTGTGGGTGCAGTAGCAGTCCAGGTGCTACTGTATGGCACTCTCCAGGTGCCAGTCTTTGACCATGTCGTGGTACAGTCGACTAGAGCGTGTTAGGAACACTCGGCACATAGGTTCGAACCCTCATCACGGCCCCTGTAGATATGTTCTTTGATTGACCAGACCACACACTAGAAGGAGAAGGAACGACGACGTTTTGGTCCATCCTGGACTATTCTCAAGTCGATTGTCAAGACACTCGACTTGAGAATGGTCCAGGACGGACTGAAACGTCGTCGTCCCTTCTCCTTCTAGTGTGTGGTCTGGTCAACATACTTTAGCCATGTTATTGTGACTCATTGCCTGCATGTTCTTTGATATATCATGTTAATTTGATTTCTCTGTGTATAGTTATTAATATTATAATTGTAGATGAGATTTAACAAATTATATACTGTTTTAAATGATCCAGTATTTAGAAAGGACAGTGATTAGTAACAATACATATATTGTCATTCATTTTCACACTAACAGCAAAACACAGGTGGACATGTAGAATGAGAAAAAGGTAAGGAAAATTGGTTATACAAAGTTAATTAGGTAGTTCTTATTTTCTCTTTTAACTAGTGGTGAGAATTATAGTTTTTAATACATTACAGGATGCAACCCACAACAATTGACTAACTGAAGGGTACCTATTTATTGCTGGTGAACAGAAGCATCACAAGAAAGGAAATATCTTCAAAGTTTTAAGTATATTTTATCCACGTGTTCCTCCCCATAGAGGGAGCAAGACGAGTGGCAAAATTGCTTGTCCCCAGCAAGTCGTGAGAAGTCATAGAGTCTGGCATGCTCAGTATGCAACCCGTCCTCTTACGTCGCTTTTTGCTCGTATGCACTACGGCCAAAAAAGGCCGTACAGTAATTTGAAAATGAAAAATAATTGAAAATAAATTTTGGAATATTGTTTTCCAAAACAGCAAGTTAAGGGTACTCTGGTAGGTTAGAAGGGCAGGAAGTTCTCCTAAGGTTTCAAAAGTCATGAAAACTGTTAATTCAAAGTTTCTTCAACTAATCTAACAGCCTAAGCCAGAGGACCCAAAACAGAAAACGGGACAGTGCGTCACTTTCGTGAGCTCATTTCATTTTGAATTGAAACGTCCTTTTTGAGCCTGAGTGCACATACGAGCGAAAAGTGATAGTCATTTGTAAGAGGACGGGTTGCAGGATGTACCTAGCAAGTTTTGTAAGCTTCAGAAAGCTAATGAGGTGCCATCCAGAAAGGAGCTTTTCATTAAACTCGACTTCTTTTTTAGGTTGTCTGGAGCTGTCGTAATTTGACATCACTGGAACGATCATTCACAAGCACTGACTACCTTGTTCAGGGAGAAAAAGTAATACCCTTCCAGCCTGTTCCAGTCAGTGAAAATGTGTAAGTATTTATTATTGAGCATTCTGAATCTTTGTACTGAAATGTATTCATGACCCAGATCAGTGAACTGCATTGATGGTTGAGAATTTTATTGACATAAGATATTTTTCTGGCCAAGATTTTAATTACAGGTCCTGTAGCACGGTGATGAAATTCTTCAGTTGACAATCAAGGGACTCATATTCAGTCTCCAGGCTGGGCAAAAATGGTTGGGCACAATTCCTTTCACCTGAAGGCTTTGTTCATCTAGCAGTCAATAGGTACCCAGGAGTTAGGCAACTGTTGAGTTGCATTCTAGGGGAAGTCATCAGTAGTAGGCCTAAGCTGGGACATATTATGAAAACAGATTAAAAAAACATATATTAAAATACATGTACAATAATGGAAATCATTCTTAAACATCCTAGAATGGAACAAATGCAGGAAAACCAAGAGATAAAACACACCACAGATGATAGTTTATTACAGTAACTTCAGTGCTTGAAACTACTGTATCACAGGTGTTAACAGCTTTGCTGTATGGAGAAACCTTGCCAGAATAACCTCTCCCAGACCAGTATATATGCATACACATCTTGCAACTATCCTACTTCTCTTTATCTGTTGCTTACTAGTTAGTTAGTTCTGATATTGTCTCCGTAATAAATGCACTCAAAACCAAAGTAAGAAACAATATGGAGTTACTATTTATGACAAATTTCTACACATTCTCTTGCCAGCCATTTCTGTACTTTTCAGTTAACCACAGGAACTATAAACTTTCCAAGGTATACTAAATAAAAATATTTACAGGGACATTGTAGCATAAAGCTGGTGACCCCTATAAATATAATTAATTACAGACTTGTATAATTGATCAATTTTTGTGGGGAGCCACGCAGCTCCGCCTCTTTGAGCAGACGTTCCTAATAATATGTTTGGCCGGTTCAACCTTTTCCCTCCACTCTACGTGTCTTGAGTGTTTGGCACAGTTGTGTGTCGCTGCTTGTAAGGTGAGAAGGTGGCTGGCTTGTTGGTGTACCACCTGTGTACACCATGCAGGAGCAGTATGAAGCTGCCTGGTGCCTGTTCTCGCACTGCTTGTCTCTTGGTCATCTTTTCCTTGATCTCTCGGTCCATCTTTGGTGGTGTCCTGTACTTAAGCTTATTCATATCTTCCCTAGGTCAATTGCTGACCTTTCGCAGGGTTGCAATTTTACTATTAGGTGAAACGAAACCATGGCCAACCATTTCTATCCCACTCAGGGATTGAACTTAAGTCCCTCGATTGTGAGCTGAGGATGTAGACCACTGTGCTACAGGATCCTAAATTACTTATTAAATTCACATGTGAAAAAATATCTTGCAAGAGTGCTCTTTTATGCACTTCCATTTTATTTAATTACACATTTCTTGATAGGTTTATTATATGGTATTCTTACGTCCTTTGTTTTCATTAAACCGTTTTGGATTTTATCGTTCAGAGAGCTGAGTGAGACGAGTGCAACAGGGAAATGGACAGCCTTTGTGGTGACCTCCGAGAAGAAGAAGGGTGAGCAGCAAGTGATTGTTGTCAACCAAGATGGCTCTATGAAAACATTTGATCTTGAAGCTGCAGGAAAACATGGAAAAGTGAGACAGATGAAAATGTTATGCTCTATGTACTCTGACTTAATTACTTTTTGCAGCATTGTTGTCGTCGTCATCATCATCATCATATCCCACTTTCATGCAGTGGAGGTGGTATCATGAGCACAATGAAAAGAGAGCAGCCGTATAGGAGAAAAAATTAGATAATAATCAAGTTTTACACATCCATTCATCACATTTTGTTCACAAATCATAGCTTCATGGATAAACAGGCACCACCATGCTCTAGTAAATTGTCCATGCGAGCACACCCCTACATCAGTGCTGCTTGTGAATTATACACTGTACTGTACAAGCTAAACACTCCTTACACACAGAAATCACAATTGCGTGATGCATCCAATGAACAAATCCACAAGGGCCGTGACGAGGATTCGAAATCGACTGAGGATGCTCAGTCGATTAAGGTAGCATCTGGGATGCTCTCGGACGCAGGTTCGAATCCTCATCACGGCCCTTGTGGATTTGTTCATTTAAACACTCCTTATAAATTGCTGTCATTTAGTCTTGTTCCTCTCCACGTTCCATACATTCCTCTCCACTTATTCCTGCCAAAGTATCTTAAGTTCCAAGTTGATTCAATAAGATGTTCTTGAATAGCAAGTCTTTGGGGACCGTTTCGTTGTAGAAGCAGTGGTCTACAGCACTGTACAGTATCTTTAAAATTGGCTTTCAAAACTGCTTAAAAAGTAACAAGGGCAGCCCCTAACCTTTGTGTGGCTCCGAGCTATTTAGCATTTGTCACCCACAGGCGCATAACAAAAAAAAATATATATATTTTTTCTTCTAAACCTGTTAATTTGTGTTCTCTGACCATGGGAAAAATATTAAAAAAATCGTAAGTGGTATATATTGCCCACTAGAGGGGCGGGGAAGTCTGGCAAAAAACAGACGCTGACTTAGAGTGCGTCCCAGACGGTCTGTTGCTCCCAGCTGTCAGGCAGGAGTGGCCACAAAGAGATAATTACCTAATTATTTCAATGTCTCTGATTGATTTTTCATAGTTTTCTGTGGGGAGCCCCTACGGCTTCCTGGAGCTTATCGGGCTAATGTGTGTTATATTAGATTGGGACATTAGCTAAGGAGTTCAGACCTACCAGGGACCAGTGCCAGAACCTGGCCCCTTCAGAGAGGTTTCAGGGAGCAATGGCCCTGGAAAACCCCTTTGTGGATGGGGTTTTCCTTATCTGCCATCGACCGGGGTTAAGCACCCAGAAAGGTAGGCATAACAAAACAAACCCCACATGGTAAGAAACTAAAACAAAAAAACGAATAGGGATGTAGAAACTCCCTACAATCACAAGGAAACAAGCAAACAAGCAAACATCACACTTTACTGCCGCGCCGATCGTCCGCGCAGCCCTCCCCGCCCCGAGAGGGGGAGGAGGGGGGAGCCCTGGACCTACCGCGCCGGCTGCCAAGCTTCAGTTCATAAGCTACTGTCAACCGGGATAGACGCTTCTCTGGCCTCACTTTCCTAGGCGGTGTTTGCCTTGTGTGGCGTTCACTGCCGTGTGTTGTGTTGTGCGGTGGCCAGGAGTACCTCATCAGTGCCAGGGCTGCATGCGCTTAGTGGTTGACTTCTCTAAGCGCCCTGTGAGTATTGCCCTTGCGTAACAGGGTTATCTTCCCTGGGGCGTTCGGGAACCATTCCCGTAGAGGTTCTTGCTGCTCAGCATTTGCCTCGCCCTTGGGGCCAGCTGGGGCTGGGGGCCTTTGTTTGGCCTTGGGTAAGGATTGGTATTGTGCTGGTTAGGGGGTCAAGGTGTTGCACAGCCTGCCACCTAAGCGGCGCCCGGTTCCTGTTGCTTCTGGAGACGGTGTACTTTTGCGGGGTTTTTCTTTTGTTTTTATTTTCATGCCTGGTGGGGGGTCTGCCTAGTGTGGCTATAGTTCCACTGGTAGTGTTTGGCAGCCCTCTGCTAGGCCCCCGTGATTGTATACACGTCGCAGGGGTTTTCAGTGCTATCCTCTACCCTCTTGTTATGTTTGGGTTTCTTAACCGGTTAGCAACACCTTGCCCGGGCTTCCTGTAGCAGTCAGCCTACGGGCCCTGGAAACCCCTGTCTGGGCTCGGGGGACCATTGAATGTGTCTTCCGGGTTCCAACCCGTCTTGTACGGGATAGTTGGTTGCTGTGCCCTTGTCTCTGGTTGACAGTCGCCACTTTTACCTCCGTCATGCTGCCTGTTGGGTCACTGACACCTTGACCCGGAGTCTTGCAAGAGATTCTCTGCTTGTTCTCCAATACTCTCCTGATGTTATTACTGTTCAGAGTACAGGCAGCATCTGTGATGCAAGCTAGGTTAGGTTGCTGCAACATGCTAGGTTGGTTTCCCACTCGGATGCCCCGAGGCCGCCCCATTTTGGTTAGGTGCTGTTCGCCCCTTTCCCTCCCTGTTCCCGGCTCCGGACTGTCTGCGGGTTTCGGGGTCGGGGCAGGGTTTAGTTGGGGCCGAGACTCGGGCGGTTTTCGGGGGCTGCCCTGTTCGGGTTGGGGGACGGAGGTTTTCGAGCCTGTTCCTCCTGCCAAAGCTTCTGGGTCTTACCAGTGGCCCTTTCTTGCTGCCTTTCCCATGGACTCTTGTTTTTCTTTAAGGGCAGAGGGCTTGGAGGACGGCTCTGCCCTGGGGCCTCTGTTGCTGGTTCTCGGGGCTGGGGGGATGCCTGCTAGCAGTTCTGGGGCGGTTTGCCCTTGCCTGGGTTTTCTGCTTTTGGGCGGAGTTTTTTGCCCATCCAGTCTGCTTGCTTCCCACTTTTGCTGGCGCGTTTTCGTATCTTTAGCATCAGTCACAGCCCTCTGTCTTGCGGCCATTTTCGTCTGCCAGTTTCCCGGCGTGGCCACCAGGGCGGCGTTGCGGTTTGTTTACTTGCAACTGGGTGTGCGAGCGAGCTTCTTGGGTGAGTTTTCACCTTTTTTCAGGGGTTTTATTCTCCTGTTGTCATTTCTTTGCTTTTCTGGTGTTTTCTGCCCGTTTCCTGTTCCTCTGGGAACGTTTGGGTGTTGATTTTACACGGGGTTTCCCTTTTTGTCTGTTATGGGCTTTGTCTCTGGCTGGTATGCTTGCTCCCACACCTTGTCCCTCGGTTTTCGATCTGTTATGACCGTTTCCCTGGGGGTTCTGTCTGGGGGCTGTGCTTTGCCTTTCTGTGGTGTTCTACGCTGGCAAATGTGGTGGTTTGGGCTCCCCCTGGTTCGATTCCAGGTTCCTTTGGGTTCTTTGGTTTCGTTCCGGAGGTTTCTTCCTTTTGGGCCCCCTTTGTGGGTTCAGGGGGCTTTGTTTCCTCGTGTGACTCGGTTCTGCCTTCTGGAGTTCCGGGGTCTTCCTGGCTTGCAAACTGATCTTTTTGGGTCTTGGCACATGTTGTGGTCATGCCGAGAGTTTGAGGGTTAGTTGTCAAGGTGGGCCTTTTGATGCAGTTCTGTGCCTTCTTTGCCTGGCCGGCGTGGTCCTCTCTGCCCACTGGTCGGCGACTTGTTCTTTTCTTTTAAAGTGTATGTGTGTGTGTACGCATGTACATGTGTACGCTGTGTGTGTGCACATGTGTATACACACGTGTGTGTGCACATGTGTATACACATGTGTGTGTAACATACCTTGTGTGTATATGTATATGTATGTGTATATACATAATGTGTATGTGTGTGTGTACTTTTTCTTTCGGAAGGGGGCTCTGTTCCCTTCTCTGTTGATGGGGCGCTGGGGGAGCAGCTTGCTCTGTTAACTCTCGCATGGTCCCGCTGTTGGTGGGCGCTTTTGGTTGTCTTCCAGCCTCTGGTGGCGTTGGTGGACGGCTTCTCCCCTTTGGGGGGGGGGGGTTCAGAGCTGGCGGGGTGGGCTTCTTCTCCTGCGCTTCGTCATGTCATCTTAGTGGGTGCGTTGGACGTGGTCGATCCGCCAGTACTTCTGGGGTTCCCGTCTGGTCTTTGCAGTCATGGGCTTTTCGCATATGCGGTTCTTCTGGACTTCTTCAGTCTGTGCCCTGGATTCTATGCCCTCCTCGGAGGACTGTTGTCTCCTGTCCGACTTCTGTTGGGGTCGGGTGCCTGGATGGTGGCCCTGGACCTCCAGGTCACTTCTTGGCACATTCCTTTCCAGTTTTCCGGGACTGGCACAGTTGGTGGTGGGGCTTCAGGCTTGCTGCTTTTGTTGCCTTCCCTATTTTGTAATTGGCACTTGGTATATTTTTTGCATCTTTACCGGATCTTAGTGCCCTGTCTGAGTCTGCTTGAGATTCGGTGTCTGGCCTACCTCGACGACTGGCTGGTGTGGGCTCCCAGTCAGTCTGCTTGTCTGCTCGCCAGGGGTGTGGTTCTTTCCAGATCGCCGGGTTTGGTTTCCTGGTGATCTGGAGGCCATTCCACCTCTTTCCGTCCCGGGTTCGGACCTGGGCCTTGTTTAGGGCTATTGGGCCACTCATTGTCTTTCCCTCCAGAAGTGTTACTGCGGCTGTGGTCCTGCCTTCAGCTGTACATGAGGGGGTCCCAGGTTGCTAAGCAGTTGTGCGGGAGTCTGAACTTCGACGTGCTGGTCTGCCCGCGGGGTCGGGTTTGGCTTCGGTGTCTGTTTGGTTCCTTCGAAGACTCCCCTTCCGCCTCTTGCATTCGTTGGGTTCGTTCCTCCGGGGATCTTGTGTTGGTGCTGCGTCACCAGCTTCCTCTTTGGGGTTTTCAGGGTTCCGTGCCTTGGCACCTCCCCGAGCCTTCGCTCGATGTGTTCACGGACGGGTCATCTCTCGGCTGGGGTTTTATGACCAGTGCTCACCAGGTCGGCCGGGGATGGTGGAGTCTGTCTGTCCGTCAGGCTCACAGCACGGTTCGGGAGTTTGTGGCTGTCTGGTTTGTGCTTCGGAGGGTTTGGGTCACTCGGTGCTCTACCATTCAGCTCCGTTCAGACTGTTCTCTGGCGGTTCTTGCCGGAACCATAGGGTTTCTCTTAGGTGTTGACCATTGGGGTTGGTTCCGTAGTGGCTCATTTGCTGGATTCTCAGGGTTTGGCTAACCGTGAGGTTCATGTCCAGGGTGTGTCCTGCGTCCTGGTGGACAGCTGTCTCGGTTCATTTCTCTGTTCGCGGATTGGCCAGTCGTCGCCGACTCGTTTTGTTGGCTCTGTCGGACGTATGGACTCCTGGCCATGGACGTCTTCGAGTCGGCGTGGTCTAGGCATCACCCATTTTATGTGGCGCCCTTACCCACCTGCGAGGCATTCACGGTGGATGCTTTTTGGCAGGACTAGTCGAGGTGGGGGTACCTGTTCCTCTTCTCCCGGTCCAACTGTTGCTTCGGGTTCTGGCTCGGTTGCAGCCCATTCCCATGAGAGCAGTCCTTAAGGTTCCTTGGTGGCCAGCCCAGCCTTATTTTCAGATGCTGCTTGATAGGTGTCCGAACCCGGGGCGTTTTCCCGCGGCTCCACCTCTTTCGGCAGGTCGAATCGGTCTTGTACGTGACTGGTTTGGCCGTGGGTGCGTCCTGTGTTGTCCGGTTGTGCTTTTTGCCGTTACCTGCGTACCGTGTCTGGGGATGCGCTGTGGTTGATCCGGTTCCCCTCATTCCCTGTTTTCAGGGCTCGGGTCTCCCAGGTCGTCCGCAGAGTTTTTCAGTCTTCCAGCCTGCAGTCTGTCTTTGCGCCCGTGCTGTTCAGACGTTTGCAGCTTTTGCTGCTGTGTTGCTGACGTCTAGGGCTCATTTCGGGCGCAGGGATTTGAGGGTCGCACAGGTTCTTGGCCGCCCATTCTTTATGCGCGTGTGCTCCTGTGCATTCTTGTTGCCTTGGGCCGCAGGTTGCAACCTGTTGTCTCGGCTTCGTGTTGCAGAGTTTGTGGCGGCCGCCTCCCGGGTTAGTCCTTTCTTTTCCTTCTCTTTGGGTATGAAGCTCCAGGGAGCCGTAGGGGCTCCCCACAGAAAACCAGCGTTGAATGTAATGAAACGTCATTTTCTGGGTGAGCCCTGGAGACTCCCTGGCAACCCTCCCTCCCACCTGTCGGCGTTTTTTTCGCGTTGGTTGAAGCTTAGCTTCCGAACTGAAGCTTGGCAGCCAGCGCGGTAGGTCCGGGCCAGAGAGGGCTGCGCGGATGATCGGCACGGCAGTAAAGTGTGATGTTTGCTTGTTTCCTTTTGATTGTAGGGAGTTTCTACCTCTCTGTTAGGTTTTTTGTTTTAGTTTTTTACCATGTGGGGTTTGTTTTGTTATGCCTACCTTTCTGGGTGCCTAACCCTGGTCGATGGCAGATAAGGAAAACCCCAACCACATAGGGGTTTTCCAGGGCCATTGCTCCCTGAAACCTCTCTGAAGGGGCCAGGTTCTGGCGCTGGTCCCTGGTAGGTCTGAACTCCTTAGCTAATGTCCCGGTCTAATATAACATACATTAGTCCAATAAGCTCCAGGGAGCCTCCGGGGCTCACCCAGAAAATGGCGTTTATTACATTCAATGCTGGTTTTTTGCTGTAATATTATTCAATAGTGTGTAGTGTGATATATTTATATAATAAAATGAGTGAATCATTGCTGTACTCAAAAATATGGTGTGCATATTGTTGATTCAATTATTATGTTCATCAAGCAGTGAACAGATACTTTGTCAGTTATTACACTATATACACAGGTTATATATAAGTATCTGCATGTTTTGTTCACCATAACGAACCACTAAGTTGCTATTATGAGTCAAAAAGCAATGAGGAGTGACCGCCACACACCAGCCAGCCATTCGCTGCCACTCACTCCCTCAACACCTCACTTGTCCACATTCCCCTCCCACCATACTGTTTTTGCTTTTATTCACTATATACAGACGTTATATACAGTATAAGTATCTACATTCGTGTTCACCATAACGAACCACTAAGTTGGCATGCTGAGTGGCAGTGGCAGCCTGCCACTGGCTGCTACTTCCTCCCTCCCTCAACTCACCTGACTCACCCACATTCTCCTCCCACAATACTGTTTTTGCTTTTATTCACTATACACAGACGTTATATATAAGTATCTATATGTTTTGTTCACCACAACTGTACAACTAAGTTGATATAGTTAGTTCAGGCACTAAGAGTCGTCGCTACACACAGTCAGGTAGCGGCTGCCTCCCTCACACATTCAAGGTCAGACGCACTAAAATTTCACCCCCAACAATACTGTTTGTGGTGTTATTACCCTATATACAGATGTTATATATAAGTATCTACATGTTTTGTTCACCATAACTGTTCAATTAAGCCGGTATAATGCCCAAAGAGCATAGTGGCCACCCCTACCAACATGACAAATCATGCAGATGTTGTCACACCCATATCTTGAGGTTATCTTGAGATGATTTCGGGGCTTTTTAGTGTCCCCGTGGCCCGGTCCTTGGCCAGGCCTCCACCCCCAGGAAGCAGCCCGTGACACCTGACTAACACCCAGGTACCTATTTTACTGCTAGGTAACGGGCATAGGGTGAAAGAAACTCTGCCCATTGTTTCTCGCCGGTGCCCGGGATCGAACCCGGGACCACAGGACCACAAGTCCAGTGTGCTGTCCGCTCGGCCGACCGGCTCCCCATCACCAAAATGGCTTCTCCCCCACACTCCTTTTGCTGTTATTACACTGTATATACATGTTATATATAAGTATCTACATTCGTGTTCACCATAACGAACCACTAAGTTGGTATGCTGAGTGGCAGTGGCAGCCAGTGTCAGCCCGCCACTGGCTGCCACTCCCTCCGTCCCTCACCTCACCTGACTTGCCACCATTCTCCTCCCTCCATACTGTGTTTGCTTTTATATACAGACGTTATATACAAGTATCAGCGTGTGTTGTTTACCATAGCGAACAACTAAGCTGGTATAGTGAGTCCAGACAGTAAAAGGTGGTCACACAGAGTCAGCAGACAATGCTACCTCCCTCCCCACCAAGATTACTCTTCCCACTACAGCGCTAATTATCACAACAATCCTGCTATTATCAGAATCCTGGTCATTTTTATCACAGTCAGGGGTCTTCTGTAATAATATCATCGCTAAATAATAGCATGAACATGTATATTATGGCATTTTTAGGCGATGCTGTGGTCACAAGCTGAACAGCAGTGCTGTGAGCTCATGCTGCGAGCTCATGCTGCGTGCATCAGGCTTGGTAGCTCACTCAATACTGAGGCCCCTCACACCCAGGAATTTGGCCCACGATTTTTTTTTTAAATGGCATCTGTTCACAAGAGCCCTGATGAAGGTGTGGTGAACCCCGTGTATCCGCATGCCGTTTAAATCTTGCGTAGTACTCCAATACATCATATGATGTAGAGCGCAAGTTACTGCAAGTCACTGAACACATCATATGATGTGTTGCGCACTTAAAGGGTTAAAGTATTGTAGTGCATAGCTATTCAACCTTTTAGCGCCATTTAAGTAGGTCTTTAGTAGCACTTTTAAGAACTGCTGTACTATAAATATATTTTATATGTTTTAAAGATTTAGTTTTGCTCAAATTTACAAACATATTCTCATAAATTCACTTCAGATTTAGTATGTTTTGCAAATATAAAGCAGAGGATCACAACTATTTTGAGCCATGTGTTAGTACCCTGTCTATCTGCCACCATATATCACTGGAATTAAATGAAAGATTATTTTATAAATATATTCTACAGAATATTGGTAATTTTTCAAGTCATATATTAGCCATTTTGTTCTGAAATGTGTAATGATATACTGCAGGTGTATGCAGATGGTGAGTTTGGGTGCTTGGAGTGGTCAGCGGATGAGACAATGCTTGTGTATGTTGCTGAGAAGAAGCGAGTTAAGCCAACAAGTTTCACAACTCGACCTAAGAGGTAAGGTTTCACCTTGTGCTTTCCCATTGTCGGGGATAGGAAGCTTATTGAAGTCCTCCCCTAGGCCAAGTACTGATGCCCTTCTCCAGGATGTAGGCAACAACATTTGTTGAACTCCCCGTTACCTGCAGGCGATGAGTCACAATAACGTGGCTGAAGTATGTTGACCAGACCACACACTAGAAAGTGAAGGGACGTCGACGTTTTCGATCCGTCCTGGACCATTCTCAATCAACTTGAGAATGGTCCAAGACGGACCGAAAACGTCGTCGTCCCTTCACTTTCTAGTGTGTGGTCTGGTCAACATCCCAGTTACCTCTTTACTGCAAGATGAACAGATGCATCAAGTGAAAGAAAATGTCCCCAGCCATATCTGTCCCACCTGGGGATCGTCAGTCGTGAACTGAAAATGTTGCAGAGAAGCTGCTTTACAACTCTGGAAATGGTAAAAAAAGAGCACTGACTATACAAACCCATTTTGTGTACTTTTTTAGAAACCCCTTTGTGACTCCTGAAGCTTATGCACTTGTACCTGAGGGCCAAGAGCATATCAGGTGGTGCTTCGGACTTTCTCACGGCCTACTGCGAGCAGATACCAGAATCCTGCCCCTCACAGAAGTGGCAGAGCTGAGGGTGTCTTAAACACTATACACACTAAGAGGAAAAAGAAGCACGAAAAAGGTTGAGAGATACATAATAATTCAAAATGCTTAGAGAAATGTTTGTTAAGAGCAAATATCAAACAAAAACTCAAACTAACAACAAATTGAAACGTACCCCATGGCTTTTCATTCCTGCCACTGTGTGGCAGTACAGAACTACTCAACCACCAGACAACCTGGGTTTAGAACCACCCAGCTCCATACACTCGAATTAGAGTATACATGGAGAAGCAGGGTAAACATGGTGGGAGAAGTGATGTGACTGAGAATGGGGTAGAAACATTTCATTCCCCAGAATGGAATGTTTCATTCCTTTCCAGAATGGTTAACACTATTTTTGGAATGGCCTTCTCAGGGGCTGTCCAAAGTTTCTTTCCAAAAATTCCTTAAATGAGGGACCCTGCAACACACTCCTCATACTGTATAGAAAAACCGGCAAGAGAAGCCATGTGTTATTGAAAACGAAATCTTCAGAGGCTTAGCTGTGAACGTCGACTTCCTGAATGACAGTCCCAAATGTATTTGGACTGCAACACGTCTCAAATTCACACCGGAAGCAAAGAGGTGGGGAAAGAGGTAGAAAAACTGACTGTGAGCACAAGAGGAGCAGGAGAAGCTACACCACACCAGGACATAGCACAAGAGGAGCAGGAGAAGCTGCATCACACCAGGACATAGCATGAGAGGAGCAGGAGAAGCTGCAGCACACCAGGCCATAGCATGAGAGGAGCAGGAGAAGCTGCAGCACACCAGGCCATAGCATGAGAGAAGCAGGAGAAGCTGCAGCACACCAGGCCATAGCATGAGAGGAGCAGAAGCTGCACCACACCAGGCCATAGCATGAGAGAAGCAGGAGAAGCTGCAGCACATCAGGCCATAGCATGATAGGAGCAGGAGAAGCTGCAGCACCACCAGCTGTAGATTCATTAAAGAGAACACTACCGGTGCAGCAAATTGACAAAAGTCAAGAACCTGAAAAATATAAGTGGTTCACCAAAAAGATTACCCTAGAATTTCACTAGATGCTTGAGTCACCCTCAGAAACCATGAGCAGTAAGCACTTGAGAAAACTGCAAAGATCAAAAGAACTTCATTGAAAACAAGCAGAAACATTCGAGGCCAAAGAATGACAAGCCGTCAAAGATGAAAAGTATACAGAACTCTTACATGACTGCCATATAGAAGCTCAAACCAGATGGTAGCTAGAAACTTTACAGCCATCTCTGAAGGAGTGACTTCTAACCATTTAAAAAAGCAAATAAGACCCACATGAAAACAAATTTGATAGTTGAAGGTCACAATAGTGACCCAAGACAACAAAAGGGCACAGTGTTGACAACCAAAAGAGGCTTGACTAAAGCCAAACAAAGGGTGGACATGTAAACAGCATAAGACTTGACAGATGACGATCCCAAGAGGAGGGGAAGTGTTAGGAAAATAAACTGAAGGGACAAAAGCATGAGAATGGTTGGGTAGCATGTGTAAAATGGTTACAAAAGAAACAAACACAGAACCTGAAACAGATAACACTGAACATAACATTAAGATCAACCCCAGCGAAGGGGCTGTACTACAAAGTACTTCCCGGTCTGAAAATTAATTGCAGGGAATACCGTGTCAAGTCAAACAGATCCACCTGCAACCTGTCAAATTTGACACAAAACCACAGAAAAGAATTTCTTTCTATCACCCTTCCACTGGGAACAAATGCAAATGGAAGAGACTAACCAAGAGAATAAATAGCCTCTACCTCACAGATCGGTAGATTGTATTGTACCATTTACAATCTTCTACTGTATTTACTGTACCATTTAGGGACTGCTTTGAGAATGGTCACAATCCCATGGAATTGATTTGCCACAAGGACAAATTCCCAACACACTGGAGCACGATTGTCCACTAGGACTGTCAGCTAAAGGAAAGGGAATCAGCGGATCCTCCCTTACATAATCAAACTCATGGAAAGGCAACAGTAGACAGACTTTGGTCAAAGTAAAATGTACAAGAGAGAGAGAACCAAGCCATCACTCACACCCATGCACAGAGCTATGTGCTTACCCCCACCAGAGACCCATTTTCTAACCAAATAGTAAACAACAGAAGACCAAATGGGGAAAAATCCCATGTTTTTAATGAAATTAAGATATATCTGTTAATCTATAAGTGAAAAGCTTTGAGAACAAAATTTATGTATAAAGTTGGGCTATTATTAATTTTACTCTAGTATCTTGTAGCTTTAGTATACATTTTTAATTAAAATAACATAAAATTTGTTAAAATATCATTGTCCTAAACTGTCTACAGTGGAGAGGAGGACAGCCGAGGCCAGGAATTCACCTTTCGAGATGATTGGGGGGAACAGCTACTTAGCAAGCATCAGGTAAGACATAAAAGTAGCATTTCATTCAATAAACAAATCGACAAGGGCCGTGACGAGGATTCGAACCTGTGTCCGAGAGCATCTCAGACGCTGCCTTAATCGAACCTGCTCTCGGTCGCAAGTTCGAATCCTCGTCACGGCCCTTGTGGATTTGTTCATTTGATGCATCATGTTATTGTGATTTCTGTGTGTAATTTCATTCAATTATTTTATCATCTTGGTAGTAAAAATTATGTGTAAAATCAAGTACAGAGCACCACTTGGTTCCCGAACTTTAGTTATCCGAAACTTCCTGTTTCCCGATTGGTGTTGGGGAGTCACGCTACACGAACTAAGTTCGGGTAGGAAGTAGTCCGCCAAGCTTCACGCCGGCTGGGGTTGGGGTTACCCTACACGAACCAAGTTCGGGTGAGGAAGCAGTCAGCCAAGCGTCGTGCCGGCCCGTGGTGGGTGGGTGGGTGATGGTTTAGTTTGCTCACTGACCGTGTCGGGCGCCGCCTGCTACCCTGTGACATCACAGACTCACGGCCTATTGTTCCCATTGTTTGAATTTGTCACGAGACTGGAGTGTTCATTCCTTGACTTTGTTTTACATATCTGCACAATCAAGGAACATCCGTGCACCATGTCGACTCCAAATGCACGCATTGTGTCAGTGAAAGCATCTACAAGCGGGTTACGTAAAAGAGGTCAGTGATGACTCTCGGCCGACCGGGAGCCGGTCGGCCGAGTGGACAGCACACGGGACTTGTGATCCTGTGGTCCTGGGTTCGATCCCAGGCGCCAGCGAGAAATAATGGGCAGAGTTTCTTTCACCCTATGCCCCTGTTACCTAGCAGTAAAATAGGTACCTGGGTGTTAGTCAGCTGTCACGGGCTGCTTCCTGGGGGTGGAGGCCTGGTCGAGGACCGGGCCGCGGGGACACTAAAAAAGCCCCGAAATCATCTCACGATAACCTCAAGATAAACCTATCATTTTTTACTATTTCTCTAGAAGTGAAAGTGATAAAGCAATACGAAATAGAAAGGTAGTAAGTAAAGCAAAAGTGGAGAGTGTTGATAACGCAGTGTGGGAGTGGTACAAACAGAGACGTGAAGTGATGAAGAATCCAGTGGCACGCTGGCTGCTCGTGGAAAAGGCGCGTGAATTTCACCAAGCAATGAAAATTACTCAAAAGGGTGTATACAGTGATGGATGGCTCAGAAGTTTTAAAACCCGTCATGGCATTATGTTTATTAAAGTGCATGGTGAAAGACAATCTGCTGATATTGTTGGTGCTGATGAGTATGTAAGTAAATTTGCAGAGATGGTGCAGGAACAAAATTTATCTCCAGAGCAAATTTATAATGCTGATGAGACAGGTTTGTACTGGCGTATGCTTCCCACAGAAACGATGGCTCATAGTGGTGAGGACGATCCTTCAGGTGATTATAAACAGAACAAACAGAATTTCTTTGTTGTGCTGTGCAAATGCAGCTGGCACGCACAAATTAAAATTACTTGTGATTGGAATTAGTAAAAACCCCAGGGCTTTAAAGTCAGCCAGGTACCTCCCTGTGATTTATAAGGACCAGCCACGTGCGTGGATGTCTCGAGTAATATTTGTCGATTGGTTTAATAAGAACTTTGTACCTGAGGTGAAGGAACACCTGAAAAGTGTTGGTCTCCCGCAAAACAGCAAAGTTGTGCTGCTACTAGATAACAGTTCAACGCATCCACGAGGTGATGAGCTAGTAAATGGCAATATTATTGGAACGTTCTTGCCACCCAATACAACTTCAGTGATCCAACCCATGGATCAAGGAATAATTAAGAACCTTAAACACCACTACAAGAGGATGTTTGCCAGACGTCTTAATACTCAGCTTGGAACACTTAAGAACTTTTATAAAGTCTTCACAATAAAGTCAGCTATCTGGACTATTGCTAGTGCGTGGGATGAGGTAAAGCAAACAACACTAAGAAATGGTTGGAAAAAACTTTGGCCCGCGTCAAGTCTGTTTCCTGAGGAAAATGACGAGGCAGATTTTGAAGGATTTGCGGTGAAGAAAGTTAGCGAGAAGAACAAATTAAGAGAGGAACTCCTAGCCTATGTCAAGGGGATTAAGTCCCCTGAGATTAGAGCAGAACTGGTGACTGAAACAATAGAAGATGACATAGATAGATGGATAGATTTTGATGAAGAAGCCCCAAACAATCGAAACATGACTAATGATGAAATTATAGAATTAGTATGTACAGCAAAAAAGCCAGACGAGTGCATTGAAGAAGATGGAGAGGAAGAGGATGAAGAAATGTTAAAGGAAAAATGTAATATGGAAAAAATTCAGAACAATTTTGAAGAAATTCTGGCATTTATGGACACGAGTAACAGCGAGTTTGAAATTAAGGACATGATGACTCAGTACAATTTGTATATGAAGTTTTTAAAAACAAGAGCCAAGGGAATGAAACAAATGTCAATTACAGAGTCTTTTGCAATGGCTTCCAAGAAAGCTCACATTGCATCACCTGCACCTGACTCATCGCATGTTGACCCAGTCAACCCAACACCATCAACATCCACCACCACCTCTTCCAAGTAAATAAATATGCTTCATCAACATCGATCATCAACATAAGCGGATCAGGACTTCAATTATTGGTGAGTACAAACAAAATATGGTCGCATTTATGCTATGAACCTGTCGATTTTTTTCCCTAGATTTTTTCGCGTTTTTTTTTCCTCCATTTCTCGTATACGAACTTGCATGTTAACCGACGAGTCTCGTCCTCAAGGGGTTCGGAAACCAAGTGGTGCTTTGTATTATAGCCAGATGTGCTTAAATTGTGCTTAATGTGCTTAAATTGTGCCATAGAACAGCACAGTGGCTAACACAGGTGGTTCACCTCTGAAAGGTCTTGATTCAATATTTGTGGCAGGACAGAGACATTTGGGTACATTTCCCTTCACCTGAAGCCTCTGTTCACCTAGCAGTAAATAGATTGCTGAGAGTTACTCAACTGTTGTAGGTTGCATTCTGGGGAAGGTTATCAGTGCTTGGCTTACGAGGACTTAGAAAAGTTTAACAGGCTTTCTGTCCCCCGACAATGGGGAACAATATCCTGGTTATGTTGCCTGTCTTTCAAAGCTCTCCTTTTAGTAAACTTTGGATGTAGAACTGTCAAATACATCTCTACAGGGAGATATGTATATGACAGTCATATGTTGATTCATGGGGTAATGCGGTTATCATCACACGATGATTTAAACACTCATTGTCTGGGTTTGACATGTATGATGCAAATACAGATATAATTACTCTCTGTGGACATAATAGAGTTTGCCTTGACTCATGAAAAAATCCTGCTATAATCTCATGGTTGCTATATAATGTGAATGCGGTTGTCGTCATGAATGCAGTCATTGTATAAAATTCCATCATAATTACATGATAAGTATTCAATGATTTTCACAACAACACCGTAGGGTTGTAATGAGGTATGCCAGGTAAACCAATCGTCAATTGAACCATTATCATGCATTACATGTACCAGGAACCAGCCGTCATCTGTGGTGACAGATGACCAGAATTGAACCATTATCATGCATTACATGTACCAGGAACCAGCCGTCATCTGTGGTGACAGATGACCAGAATTGAACCATTATCATGCATTACATGTACCAGGAACCAGCCGTCATCTGTGGTGACAGATGACCAGAATTGAACCATTATCATGCATTACATGTACCAGGAACCAGCCGTCATCTGTGGTGACAGATGACCAGAATTGAACCATTATCATGCATTACATGTACCAGGAACCAGCCGTCATCTGTGGTGACAGATGACCAGAATTGAACCATTATCATGCATTACATGTACCAGGAGCTAGCTGTCATCTGTGGTGACAGATGACAAGAATTGAACCATTATCATGCATTACATGTACCAGGAACCAGCCGTCATCTGTGGTGACAGATGACCAGAAAGAAATGGTGGCTTATGCCTTTGCTTCAGTCTATTCTCTTGGCCATATAGTCATGACCCAGAGCCCAACACCATTGTGTATTGTGTTTATATGCTTTTCACTATATGATATGGTGAAGTATGGTTATTTTTGGACTTCTTCAATAAGAATTCTGCTTATACAGATGTCTGGGTTATCCAGTGATGGGGTCCTTCCCATATAGTTTGGATAAGCAAGCTATATGAATAAGGTAAACTGTACTTACAAGTACAGAATACCAGGTAAACCAATCATCGGTTGAAACATTTATCATATCTTATGTCAATTATGTGATATATCAAGTTATTAAAACAAACACACACACACACACACACACACACACACACACACACACACACTAGAATATGCTAGAATATGCAGCTGTTGTGTGGTGCCCATATCTTAAGAAGCACATCAACAAACTGGAAAAGGTGCAAAGACATGCTACTAAGTGGCTCCCAGAACTGAAGGGCAAGAGCTACGAGGAGAGGTTAGAAGCATTAAATATGCCAAAACTAGAAGACAGAAGAAAAAGAGGTGATATGATCACTACGTACAAAATAGTAACAGGAATTGATAAAATCGACAGGGAAGACTTCCTGAGACCTGGAACTTCAAGAACAAGAGGCCATAGATTTAAACTAGCTAAACACAGTTGCCGAAGAAATATAAGAAAATTCACCTTCGCAAATAGAGTGGTAGACGGTTGGAACAAGTTAAGTGAGAAGGTGGTGGAGGCCAAGACCGTCAGTAGTTTCAAAGCGTTATATGACAAAGAGTGCTGGGAAGACGGGACACCACGAGCGTAGCTCTCATCCTGTAACTACACTTAGGTAATTACACTTAGGTAATTACACACACACACACACACACACACACACACACACACACACACACACACACACACACACACAATGCTTTCTAATTTCAGAATTGCATTTAAATACATGGATGGCGATATACTAAAGAAGTTGTTCATGACTTTTGTTAGGCCAAAGCTAGAATAT